ATGTGTAGTAGATCATTAGAATTTATGTTATTGAATTTTAGAATGGGAAAATATCGTTACCCTTTACAACAAATTTCCCCCTCTCTATATTAAAAGGGATAATATTTGCTTTAAAGCGATGAAATGAAAATGAAAAAAGGAAAGTAGCAGCTGCAAAGTAATTTCTATTCCTCCCACGCTCATTCACTCAAGGGTTACTTTCTCTGTGAATTGCAAGGAAGGCGGCAGCAGAATCGTTTTTTCCTTTCATAGCAAAAATCATTTGGCTGCCTAATGAAGCATTTTAATGTTATCAATGGCAAAGAACGAGCAAGCCAGCAGAAGGAGTAACGAACACACGTTCATTGCAAAACCGAACAACAATTCCTTAACAGCTGTGAAATGGATTCCTTTTGCAAAAAAACAACACATACATATATATTTATTTGAATGGGAATCCTTTTAGATTTTTCTTCTTTTGCTTCTTGACGAGCCAAGCGCAATTGCTCTCTTGTTACGTATCATAAACTTAAACAACCTTTTAGACATGCAAAAAAACGGAAAGTAAGAATGGCAAAAACAAAATAATACTAAGGCCGCGCGCCGTCATCGCCATCGAATACCAAACAACAACGACAAACAATATCCCAATTTACATACATATTGAAATCTGAAAATTGTAAGCTCAAATGGTTTCCATACAAAACAAGAAAAACAACAACAACACCATCTAGCATTGCCACTCATCCATTTGATAGCTGTGATGTTTTTGCTGTTTTACATTTGTTGTTCTACTAAACAACAAATGTTTTCTTCCTTAACGAATCATCATCATCTTGCAGAGGAACTTCGAATCGTCATCTTCTCATCATCAACAAGAGTCGGACCGACTGGTGCGACCTTAGATGTGATAAAAAATAAATACAAAAAATTTACATAAAGAAACCTTTTGGCACAAAATGTTGTTCGGCTATCTCAAGGGGGGACCCGACAGACGAACGACAGTCAGGACAAACTATAATGGATCATAAGATTAAGGCAGGATAGATAAGCACTCCTGCCATAATATTATGGGTGCTAGACTCAATTAAGTGCCCTGTACCAAATTTCGTGCAAATCGAACGATTTATAAGGACCATTTACATAAAATCGGTCGAAAATATATATTACTGGAATATGCGAGATATATCTAAATCTGAACGGATTTTCACGAAATTTAACACACTAGACTCAATTCAGTACGTTATGCCAAATTTCGTGCAAATCGAAAGATATATAGGGACTTGGTTGCACTATTTACCTTAAATCTGACGAAAATATATATGGGAGCTATATCTAAATCTGAACCGATTTTCACGTAATTTAGCACACATCATTCTAGACTCAATTCAGTAAGCTATGCCAAATTTCGTGCAAATCGAGAGATATATAGGGAATTTGGTACACCATATGCATAAAATCGGACGAAAACATATATGTGAGCTATATCTAAATCTGAACCGATTTTCACGAAATTTAACACACATCGTTCTAGACTTTATTTAGTACGCTATGCCAAATTTCGTGCAAATCGAAAGATATATAGGGACTTCCGTGCACCATTTATATAAATTTAGACGAAAATATATGAGAGCTATATCTAAATCTGAACCGATTTTTCCCAATTTCAATTTGTCCTTGGGCCGAATAAAGTAGCTGTGTCAAATTTCATCCGAATTCAAATCAAAAATCCGACCTGTACTTTGTTTACAATTTAACATGGACAGACGGGCGGACTGACGGACGGACATGCATAAAATAAATAAAAGTGATTCTATGCATATTCTCAAAAGGAACCAAGGGTATATCTCGTTTCCTTTTGCCTGTTACAAACATATGTACAAAGACATAATACCCTGTGCCACAGTGTGGTGAAGGGTATAATAAAAAATACACCCTCTGTAAAATCCAAGTCCTATAGAGCACTGAAAAAAAAAATTCTTTAAAAACCCTGAAAAGAATTATGGTTTAGTATCAACAATCCTATATAGCCCTGAAAAAAAAATTAAATCAAAATCTCTGTAGGCCCTGAAAAAATATTCTATGTAGCCCTAAAAAACATTCTTTAAAAAATACACATCTCTTTGAAGGTCTGAAAAAAATATTCTTTAAAAAATCCACGCCTCTATAGAGCCCTGAAAAAATATTCTTTGAAAATTCGCGAAAGTAGAGTAATGAAGAAATATTCTTTAAAAAATCCACGCCTCTACAGATTGCTAAAAAATATTGTTTAAAAAATCTACGCCTCTATAGAGCCCTGAAAAAAATCCATATCCTATAGATCCCTAAAAAAACTATTTAAAAAATCCATGCCCTATAGATTCCTAAAACAATATTATTTTAAAAAAATCCGTCTTTATAGGCCTCGATTCTCCCATGGAGCCGTGAAAAATATGAAAATCGTTTTCTAACTCCGTTTCCCATTATTCTCAAGCCTCCACTGTGTTTGAAAGTTAAAATCGATTCTGTTATCACATTCAGGCCTGGCATTTGTTGTTGTTCTTGCCTGACTATATTTAAATAAATGTGTTTGGGGTGATGGTAGATCCCCCCTCTGGTTAAGCTGAAAATCGTTTGCATTAAACACGATTTAATCAAAAGCCGGTTTAGAATACAGTTGTTGGCTAGCTGGATGGCTGACGGACTGGCTAGCAGTTAGCTTGTCTGATGTATCGAACTGACTGCCTGTCTGGCTGGCTGACTTGCTTTTTGGTGGCAAGAAAGTTGAGTTGTGAATGAGACGACGATTGAGACTGTCGTCTTTACTAACTGAATATTCAAGAGTTGTTGTTATTGTTGTCGACCCCTTCTTCTTCTTCTCATCATTGGAATTGTGTGTGTGTGTCTGTGTATGAGGATGACTGAAAATTGACCACCAGCTTAAAAATAAGGAATGAACTGCTCATAAAGTTAAATAAAATATGGTAATTAATTACAGCGATTAAATGCATAAATTTTCACACACAAACAAACACACACACCCAGGGAATGAGACATACAGATATTGCAACATTTTGCCATTATTATATGCGTAAAATACATTGCATTATTAACAAAGCAAAAACAATAACAACAACTAGAAAATACAACCATTGTAAAAAATATCATACAGACTAGTTACTGGAGAAAAAAATATTCAAATATCCCATTTGCCGCAAAATGAAAGTGAAAGAATCTGTGACCAATTTTGTTAAGGAATCCACCCAAACAACAATGTTGCCGCCACCTCGGTAAACTCAAACCACTTTTATAAACAAACAATTAATCTTAAAAACGCACACGAGAAATCTCTTCTCTCTCAGCCATTTATCAATTTGTAAACACCTTTAAAAAAATCAAAAAAAAAAACAAAATAGAAATGAAATAAAATACCCAAAATGTGTTTATATGGAACTTGTTGGATTCTTAGCGGTAAATTTTGTGTGTGAACACACAATTATACACAATGTTATTATCTTTTGGCAAATATTTAATCAATTTATTTTACTACAGAAAAAAAATTCGAACATACACATGTACACAACAACAAAAACAAATTAAGGCGGCAAAAAATCTTTCTTTACTCATGGCATTATTTTTTTCGATTTTATTTGTTTGTGTTCTATTTATCTAAAGCCCATGTAATAATGGCGGTGCACTACTAGAGTAGCCTTTAAGATAGCACGTAACATGTTCTTGTTTTTGTTGTTAATCATACACTTACTAATTACATTTTGTTGCTGTTGTTGTTTTTGTGTTTATCATTTGTTTATAGTAAATATTAATTTAATGATATTGTAGAATGTAGTAAGGAAAACAAAAAACTTGGTCATTAGGCAAATGAGAATTTAACTATTTGTCGAAGAATTTCAAAGGAATTTTCAAAAGGAAATTCTGAAAACTAATATTTGATAAAAAAAAACTTTGCGGAAGAGCGTAAAAAATATTGGAAGAACTGAGGAACTAGTGTTGAAATAATGAATGTCTCCATTGAAGCCTGAACAAATATTCTACCGCCAGAGTCTGACAAAATATTCTTAAGAAAATGGTTGCATTTGCTTAGCCCCGAAAAAATATTCTTGGCCTGGAAAGATATTCTTTAAAAAATCTACAAGTCCTTGGAGCTTGGAAAAACTATTTTACCCCACTTTGCCGCTTAAATTTGTATATTTTCTACAAATTCTTTACAAAATCCTCGCCTTGATACTTCAAAATAAACTTTATAAGCCAATATTGGTTGGGTCTTCAAAAGCAATGTTTTAACCCTGAAATCACAACCTCTTTCGGCACCTGTATTGATATCTCCTTTATTAGGAAGGTTGGCTTGGGAATCAATATGTTTTGAAGGTATGCTGATCTGATTGGCCTACAGGAACTTATATTTCATAAAATTTTGGTTTGACAGGTCAGCATGTCTACAAAGACTTTCTGTATTTCTGCTCTTCTATAAAGAATTGCTGTCCTTCGTTTGGATTCCCTATTTTCCCGACGTTTCCAGTCCCTTTTTTTTAGCATAGACTCTCTTCCAGCCTTTCAGCTCGTCTAAAAAGACTTCCTGTTTTTCTTCTCGTCTATAAAGAATTCGTGCCCATCGTCTTTGCCGTCGGGAAAATAAATACTTGTTTAAGACAGATACATTTCATGGAGAGCTTAATCTCCTTACTTCCGACAAATGTTGAATTCCTCTTGAATATTTAGCTTGACTGATATTTTTGGAATCCTCTAAATAACATTTCTTTAAGAAGATGTTTTTTTCCTTTTAAGATGTTGCACTTTCTTTAACAAACAATTTTTCTTAAATATTCTATAAAAATGTAAAGATATGCTTTTCCTTGGCATTTTTAAAGCATCCGAGGAAACATTTTCCTTGACCAATACTTCATTCTTTAGATTTGCAATATTCAATTTCTTCTCTAAACAAATTCTCATAACTATTCTACAAAAAATTATAAACTTAATTTCTCTTCAAATTATAAAATAAATCACATTATTTCTTAACTTACCGGTTTTTTCTTTAATTTCACACAACACCGAAAACAAGGCCGGTTTCATGCGATGACAATTTAATGTATGTTTCCGGGCCTGGGCTTCATCTAGCGATTGTTCGGAAATACTCATAATTTGTTGTAGAATTTCACCGATATCCTTTTGTTTGCGTACTTCATTTTCATTGCCGGGATTTTGGCCATCATCTTGGCCAGGCATACCATAACCTTGGGGTGCCATCATACCGCCCGTATGGGCCATCATACGATTAGGATCCTCCATAATGGGCTAAGCTGTTGTTTACTTCAGTTAAAGCAAAAGCAGCAGCAGCCACACAACACCACAATGGCAAGACGACGACAGGCAGCAGCAATTTGGACAACAGCGAGAAACACGGCTAAAATTAAAGGTACACAAACAAAGGAATATGTTTTATTATTAAATTCCTTTTATTTTAATCATTTTGTTTATTAAATTATTTAAAAAAACACAAAGAGCAAGGTGTTTTATTATTAAATTCTTTTATTTTGATATGGTTTAATTCAACTTGTTTCATTTTGTTTCATTTTGCCCATTGTTAAAGCAAAACGTAAGGCGGCATGCACATTATATTAAATCTAAAGCACTCACACACACAGACACACGTCTTCTTAAATATATTTCATAAACTTAACAGAAGCGACAGTAAATTGACAAAACGTCCAATCCCGTCAATGGAACAAAATAAACTGTGGTGACAAAAACGTTGCTTCAAAATAAACTGCACTAAACAAAAATCCATCCAATCGAAGAACACAGTCAAACGAGACAAAAAACAGCTGAGCGCAACAACACAGCATCAAATAAACAAATAATGACAAGAATGAGCAATGACGGCAGAGACTGCGACAGAGAGAGGAGAGTGTGTGTGCTGAGAATTCTCACAGCAGGAAATACTATGGCAAATGCAACCCACCCACAATTTACCTTATGATTGCACACACACAAGAGAGAGTGAAAGATTGAGAGAGTGAATATTGGTGATATAAAGAGCTTAAAATAAATACTTCAGAAAAAAGGGAAACGGGGAGAAAAGACCACAACAGGTCATGATGGGTAACGAAAAAATAATGATTTTTAACAGAAAACTAAGGATTAAAATAAAGTTATTAAGCAGGAAAAGAATAAATATTCATCTGGTTGACTTTGTAGTACATTTCTTAGGGAAAAATATGCTACCTGTGGCAAAATGTGACTTATTTTAATCTCACAGCACATTGGAAGAAGCAGATTAACTCACTAATCCCCCCATTTAAGTTAAAGGTCACTTTTCCCAAAAACCTTTCCAGGCTATTGTTGTTGTTCTTGTGGAATCTTAAGGATTTGTTTATGTTAGATAAAATGTGCCATATCATTTGCCTATTACACTAGTAGTGTCATAACATATTGGGCTGCATGTCGTGATGATGTCGCGTGTGTGTGCGCCTTTTTGACACCGCACATCAAAACCTCCGAGCGCTGCAAGATAAAACTTCTCAAGTGGTCGATATGTCGATGGTATAATGATAATAATTATGGCTAACAATTAAACAAAACAAAAAGAAAAGAGAAAGTTGCTTTCTCTTTGGTAGAGGACCTTGAAAAATTATGTTTTTAAAAATAATTCTAAATATTTTTAAACAAAAGCGGAAGAGAAAGTTTCAAGGATAAAAATATTTGAAGAAAAAAAGAATATTTTTAAAACAATTTTAAATTGCTAAACAAAAATAGGCAAACGTGGAAGAGAAAGTAGAAACGAAATATTTGTAAATAATTGTTTATATAAAGGGGAAATCTAGAGCAATATGGACCATAAAAATTTAATAGTTAAAAAACCTAATTCTACTTGGGTCTCAGAAAAATTATTTATAAAAAAATCCACGAATAATTGGGACTCAGAAAAATTATTTGTAAAAAATCCGCGCCTACTTATAAAAAATCCACGCATAATTGGGACTCAGAAAAATTATTTATAAAAAACATCCACGCCTACTTGGGACTCAGAATTTATTCTTTGAAAACCTACGCTCAGTTTACCTCCGGAAAAAATATTCTCTGAAAATCTACGCTCAGTTTATATTGTGTAGAATTCTACGTTCATCTGCGTTTAATTCCAAGAAAAAATATTCTCTGAAATTCTATGATTCTTTAAAAATTTAAAAATGTACGCCTTAATTGGCTTCAAATTCAGGGCTTCCTTGGTTTTAAAAAATGATTCTTTAAATATCCACGCCTTGATTGGACTTAGAAAAAGTATTCTTTACAAATTCACGCCTTCCTGTGTTTTAGAAAAAATATTTTTTAATAATTCAGGCCTTCCTGGATTTTAGAAAAAGTATTTTTTAAAGTCCACTCCTAATTTGGGCTCAGAAAAATTATATAAAAATCCACACCTTTTTTGGGCTCCAACAAAATTATTCTTTAAATATCCACTCCTACTTGGTGCTAATTTGGGCTCCGAAAATTATTCTTTAAATATCCACACCTACTTGGGGCAAATTTGGGCTCCAAAAATTATTCTTTAAATATCCACGCCTTGTTTTGTCTTAGAAAAATTATTTTTTAAAATTCCATGCCTTCATTGGCCTTAGAAAATTTATTTTTTTTAATATGGTTCTGTTGTATGGGATCCTCAATATGCAATATATTCCGATAAAATCGAATCAGTGCAGAAATAATTCTTACTTTTTGCACTGAGAGGTTTACATTGGAATAGTGATTTTGTGTTGCCTTCTTTACCTACATTAAAAAGTAGACGTATTATGTTGAACACTATGATGGTACAAAATATATTAAATTACAATATACCCTCTGATTTCCTAATTTCATCTATTAGAATAAATGTTCCTTTTCGACCGAGTAGATATTATCAACTATTATATGTAGATTTTCATCGCACAAATTATTCTATGGGAGATTCACTCAGTATTGTTTTTAATTCTGTGTACTCTAATGTAGATGATGACAGATTTCAGGAGAAATTTGTTAACGTTTATATTTCCTTTTTATAAAGGAATGAATTATACGCCTTTTTCCTTAATGAATTATTCGTTTTTCTTTAAATTCCGTTTAGATTCAACATTCCAATTAGAAAATTTCTAACAAGAAATATTTGTTGGATTTTTTTGTTTAAATATTTTTGGATTTAAAATTGAGCATTTTGCTTTATAAGGTGCATATGGTCGTCTCTCTTCCAAAGGACGAGCTCTATTTACTATTTTGAGTTCCAATATCTCAAATGTTCCATTTCTTCAAAAGGCCACACCCATGCCCTAAAAAATATAATATAATTTATTGCACTTTTTTCAAATATTTTAGTTAATTTTTTTACCAAATCTAACATTCCAATATTGGTCAACTTAATCCTTCATCTAATATTGAAATCAAAGAAATCCCATATTTGACAATTACCCACGTTCTTTAATTTAATCCATAATCTAATATTTGGAATTAAAAAGAAACAACAAAATAATTAAAAATCTCAAATCACAAATTCCCAATATGTATTTTTGTATTACCTCCAATAAAAGGTGATACCGCGGTAAAATAACACCCCATTAACTTTTTTTTAATTAGTTCTTAACGGGTAGCACCATCATCGTCGTCATCATCATCATAGTACCATAAAAATCAGTTTAACAACTTATATATTCGAAATGCCGCCACCAGTAAGCCAGCCAGCCAAACCAAACGGCAAAAGGTAAACAAAAAAATATAAACAAATCATATAAAAGCTATAAAAAACTCGGCAAAGGCCATAAAAGCGACTAAGAAATATGTCGCAATAAAACATCGGTACACACACCGAGTCTGTGACGGAGAAGAAGAAGACGAATGGAGGAAAATAATGGGGAGCTACTAGCCAAGCCAAACGGGCAGACCACCGCACACCAAACACACACACTAACACCTTGGCTTTTTAGAGGGCAACTATTTTTTAAAGTGTAAACACAAGAAGAAAACCCCCCATTAAAACGGAAGTCCATGGAACTTATAAAAAGAAAAAAAACATTATTGCACATAAAATATTTAAATAAAATATTAATTTGTTTCACTTGAAATCCATCTCCAAAAGAAATCTCTTCTATTTCATCCAAATCAAATCAAGACTGTTCTTTAGAATATGTAGAGAAAAAAAGTCTTGTATATATAGAGATGTGTGCACTATTCCTTGCTTTGCTTTGACATTTTGTCATAGTTTCAGTTTTTTTCTTGCATTTTTCACACATTTCTTTGTTAAATTTCATACACACTTTGTTACACACACACTTAGCTTGAGTTCGTTTTTATTTATTTAATAATTTTGTTAATAATTACCACTGTTTTTGATTAGTAAATTTATTAAACGCTTCCAACAAAAATCTTTTTGTGGCTCTCTTTTTTGTGCCTATTTTCTGTATGTATTATTTTTCTTCGTCAAATTGGAAACAAGTATGGCGAAGAGATACTTAACGAAAGTAGTTGACATTAAGAGACGGCCATGGGAAATGCAACTCTGTGTGACAGTGATGGGGAAAGAGTTGTTGACTTACAGGGTGCATCTTGTATGCAGCCGTGTGGCATTTGACAAAGAAGAGTTAATTTAATTGGAAATATTAACAAATTAATTATTAAATATAAAAAATATTAAAAAAAAATTAATTGTTTTTAAAGAATAATTTTTTTTAGCTCAAATTAGCAGCGGATTTTTAAAGAATAAATTTTTCTAAGTTGAAAAAAGGCGTAGAAGAATAATTTTTCTAAGAACAAGGAAAAAAATTCACGTCAACGAAGCCCTTTTTTCAGGGCCTTGAACAGGCGTAGTTTTTCAATTTTTTAGGGCCTAAAAGCGGCATAGATTTTTAAAATATATTTTTAGGTCATAAAAACCTTAATTTTTTAAGTCTAAATATTGGCTTAAAATTTTATTAGCCCAGATTTTTTCAAGTGTCACAAAAATACTTAATTTTTTATGAATACTCTTTAGAGGTCCTCAAAAAGCGTAGATTTTTTTAGAAATCGTCCACGCCATTTAAAAATGTCATTCTTTAATGAAATCCAAAATTTTATAGAATTATATTAAATATCTTCAAATTCAAAATTCATTAAAACCATTTTTTCAATCAGAACCAGCAACACACCCGCACATATAGAAATCACTTTAAAAACTTTATTTTTTTAAGCCAATAATATTTTATTTATTCCTTTTGAGTCATCTAAGAAATTTTATTAAAAAACGCGTTTATTTTCACGATCGTGTTTCTCTAGACCTAATTACAAATTTTCCCACTTTTGTACTCCTTGATTTCTCCTGAAATCACTAATAAAGTCCATAGACTTATGGACTGTTCCCGTACTGCAAGAATCTACTACTTTTTACTACGATAACGAATTTTCCTTTATGATATCGAAGAAAATAGTAAAATCGAGTAGATTCTTGCAGTACGGGAACAGACCATTAGTATTATATTTTTGTCAAAAAATGTCTTTATTTGGCCGTGTGCAAAAGTCGATCTTGCAATCCCTACACCGTGCAAACAAATACAATGACAAAACCTGTCATGCAAAATACAGTTATTTAAAGTTGAAGGAAAAATATAGTTATTAAAAGATAACTGCTAACTAAGAGAGAGAGAGGAAAATAGAAATAAAAAACATTTCTTTCATTTTCCTCGTTTATTTGTGTATGGGTCTTTTCATAACTGACAGCTACCGAAACCCGATATCGATAGCGGTATGATTAGTATCAACTATCGACATTGCCACAAAGAAACTATCGAGAGTCCTATCGAAATGTTTTGCATCTCCAATTTATCGTGTTTTCTAGTGACATTTTTTTATTTACATACAAGAGAGAGCATTGCCAAAAACCTTTTTCGCTAACACAATTGGAGCAAAAAAGAAGAAAAACAACAACAAAAACATTGTAAAACTATGAAAAAAGAATCATAAAATAAGAATTAGTTAACCTGTCTTCCACATAACACAAAAGAAAACCAGAAAAAACATGTTGCAAAGCTGAGTTAAAAAAAGTAAAAGTTTTTCTTTTCGTTATTTTTATTTACAACAACAACAAAAAAACACGAGCCATATAACAAAAGAAGAGTGGTGGAAGAAGGAAATATGTCATTGTCAACGACAAAAACTAAAGACCCCTCGTTACGGGTGGCCGCCAATGAACCACATTTGGTTAGTTTGGGCGGTGGACGTTTGAGTACCGCTGTGACCATACACAATATACCAGTGGGAGATACCACAATTGGTTCATCGCATCATAGTAACATATCCTTGTCGGGTGCAGGAGTACGGCCTCTGCATTGCCTGATCTATCGCAGTGAGGAGAATCAGGTAACATTGGTACCCGAACGTGGAGCTCGAATTTTAATTGATGGTCAGGCTTTAGCGGATGGCGAGGAGGTGGATCTGAAGCAGGGAGCCATGATTACACTGGGTGATTCATATTATTTACGTTATAATAACCCTATAGAGGCCGAGCAAATGCGTAGCGCCATGGGTAATCGAATGTTGGTTGGCGGGGAATTCGAAGAAAAAGATGAAACGGCAATGTTGGATTATTTCTATGAAACGAATATCAATCCCATGAGGAGACGTAAATCACAGGATGAGGGTAATGGTGGAGGTGGTTGGGATAAAACTTACAATAATCTCAAGCCATTGGATATTAATGGCTGGCAATGTCCCAAGGTATTTAGTGCGGATTTGGTAACCGTCAATATGCCGGCGAAAGATGTGTTGGGCCAGAAATATGCCAATTTTGCCAAGAACTTGGCGGAAAATCATCGCAAAGATAAGAATATCAATACGAAACACAGTGAAGAGCTGTTTAACAATGTTCCGCAGCAGGCTGGTATCAGACTTAATGATAGTATGGAATTTTTATCGAAAGTACAAAACACCTCGACTCCACAAAAATCGAATGCGGGAGAGAAGGGGACATCGTTTGATAGCAGTGATTATTTGGAAGATATGTTGAAAATTTGTACGGAATATGCTGAACGTCAAGAACGTAGTAGTGGTAGTTTAAGTTCCTCACCCATTGTCCAGAACCGCATTAAAACCAATGGTTCCTTGCCCCGGGAGAAAAAGTCACCATTTCCCAAAACCAGCAATGAGTTGGTGATGGGTTCGCCTCAGGCCAAATCAAGTGGTTATGAAAATGTAAGGATTGTGGCTCAAGAATCCACTGGAGGAGGAGGTTATGAAAATGTACGCTATGTGCCACAAAGTCCCCGGACCAAAATACGTACCAATTGCCTATCATCGCCCAAGAAAGAAATGTCCGCACCCTTTGCAGGTCAGGAGGAGAAGACCGCCACCTTGAATTATGAGGATTTGATAAAGAATTTTGAAGAAAAATTCCAAAAAGAGATCGAGGCCATTGAGCAAAGTTCTAGAAATGTAAGCAAGACCCTGTCGGCCAATAACACACCCTTGGGTTCCCGTAGGACTAATAAAAATATTAATAATCTAACAATTGATATCAAATCCTTGGTATCACCGCACAATTCCCCCAAATTGGCGAAGAAAGCACCCACCCCAGCGCCCCGGAATTTAATGAAACCTCCCACCAAACCCAGCTCCAATTCCCGGGGAAGTTTAAATAGTTTAAAAAATAAAAATCCAGAGCAAGAGAAATTACATAACGAAAGGGAGGATCTGCTGAGACGTTTAAATCACCTCAAGGAGGAGATATCCGTTTTGCAACAACAAGACAATGAGGCCTTGATTGAAATGGATATGGAAAATGCCTTGGTTTTGGGGGAACTGCAATCCTTGAATGAGACTAAACATCGCTTGGAAAAGGAATATAAGTCACTACAGCAGAGGGTGCATCGCCTAGAGGCCCAGCGTAATGCCACCCGTGTTATGGAAGAAAATCAACAGGCCAAATTGAAGCAATCGATTGAAATGAAAGAAGATCAGATGGCAAAGCTGAAGGAAATGCTGAAGCAGAAACCTGATAATCCATGCCTGAAAGAGGAATTGTCCAATGTCTGTGAAAGTTTGGAAAATGATCGACGGGCCTTTGAAGATTTGGAATTTCAATATTTGGAAGGTGAATCCGATTGGCAGGCTCAGTGTGAGGAGTTACACGAGCAGGAGAGTGATTTGCAGAAACAAATTGACCACACCAAGAAGGCCATTGAAAATATACACCAACAACAAGAAACAACCACAACAACCTCATCGGAGTCACAAACCCAGCTAAGGAAACGTTTGGTCCAGTTGCTTAGCGATCTGCAGGATTGTGAGCAGAAATTTAAGGATCTAGAAGAGAAGTTGGCGGTACAACTGGCCACCAACCAGAAATCCAGCAGCGGTGGGGGTTCTACACATTCCATTATGTCACAATCATTGTTTGGTTCAACGGAAATTTTGTCTTCCAAGCGGCGGGAACCCAACGCTGCGAACAATGAGGACCTTATGTCCAAATCGTTTAATGAAAATATGTTCTACAATAATAAAATTGAGATACCACAAAATTCGCTGAGAATGTTAAATCGAAGCAGCCGGGAGATGTCACAAGAAAGTGTGGTGGTGGTGGATCGGGATGAAGTGGATGAGGTAAAATCGTCAAAAGAGGCCTCGAATAAAATCCTGGAATCTATAAAGGAAATTGAACGCAATCGCAAGTTATTGGCCTCGAAGCAAGAACAGAGGGCCTTGGAAAAGGAGCGGGAAAAAATCGAAGAGATACTTAAGGCCTTGAATAACGAGCCACAAAAGTACTTAACTGTGAGAGGGGGAGGGGGAGATGTTCCAAATAATTCGTTCAAAGAAAATAAAGAAAATCTAAAACAAAAAAGATTATCAATTGGCACCATAGAAAGGCAGGTTTCGGAACCACCGCAACAAAAATCCTCGTTGCAGGCTGCCTTTGAAAAACAAAATTCCGCCCCTAGCAATTTTCAAAGACCATTATCCGAATCAAATTCCGAGACGGCCGATGATTTGTTAATGACCCCCGGCCCCCAAAGGAAATCGTTTGGGGAAAATCCTTCTCTGAGGACCACAAGTCCCGATAGCCCTCGAAGTACAAGTTTGGAAAAACGCAGCAGCAGTGTTTTATCCTCCAATGAGGGCGGAAGTGAGAAACGTAAGCTACAGCTGGGCAAACATCAAAGGCCCCTCACGAGATATATGCCCATCTTCGCTCAAGATTTAGATTTAAGACGCCACATCCACTCCGCTGGCCATCAACTGGATTTATGTCCCCATCTCCACATTGATGAGCTATCCTGTCGCGGATATTTACATAAATTGGGTTCAACATTCCATACCTGGTCGAAACGATGGTTTGTTTTCGATCGCCAGCGTAATGCATTTATCTATTATTCAGATAAAAGTGAACGTAAGCCGCGGGGAGGGGCCTATTTCTCCTCCATCGATGAGGTCTATATGGATCATTTAAATGCCTCGAAAAGTAGTCGACCCCACTGCACCTTCATTGTTAAGACCAAGAAAAGGAAATATTATTTGCAGGCAGCCTCCGATGCGGCGGCAAGGATATGGATTGATGTCATTATTACGGGGGCTCAAGGGAATATAGACTACTAGGGAGAAAAAATAGTTTTATTTAAAAAAAAGCAAAAAATTCCATTTACTACTTATTTTTTTATATATACACAAAATTTATATATTAATATTTTTTAAACAACACATTATCTAAATTTTTTTGGGTTTAGAAAAAAATGGTATTGTTTTCTAGTTTTAAGTTTTTTTTTGTTTTATCAAAAAAAGTGATTGGTATTAAGTTTTAAACATAAATACAAATGTTTATTGTAAAAAAAATTAAAGAAAAACATATATATCAAACTATTTGCTCAACTAATGTATCCTTTAAAAAAAATCAAAACAAATTATATATCTCAAAACGAAAAAATTAGAGTATTATTAAAAAATGTTTCTATATGCATGTGCCTCTTTTAAACGTGTTCACTATATAATAAAAAATATATTTCGTTTTTGTAGAAATTTTAGAAAATTAAAAAAGAAAAAAAAAACAAATATCTTCTGAAATAAAGATAACAAAAAAATTCCAACTATATTAGATATAAGTCATAACAGTCCAAAATAGATAACAAAAAAAAAAAAAAACTTTTCAGTACACTAACAAAAAGTGTATAACACAATATCATACATAGTATATATAGATTTGCAAAAACAATTGTAAAAGTTATATATTTTTTAAAAGAATCAACAAGAAAATCACAAATAAAAAGATAACAATAAACATGATGAATCAAGTATCATGTAAAAAACATGTGTGTAATTTTTATTTATTTTTAAGAATAGATATTGTGCGGGTGATGATGATGTGTCAGCAGCAGCACCATCACCATTCTTTTTTTTTTTTTTTGTCCTAACCGAACTTATCGCAAAAGATAAGTTTAGATAGGTTGGGGTTTTGTTTTTTATTTGTTTGTCAACAAAATATGGCTACGCAAAAAATGAGAAAGATATCAGAAACTGTTGGGCGCCAACTTATCTTCAAGAATACGAGAATGGATAGCAAAAAATGATGACTAAAATTGTCAATTTTTAAAATTAAATATTTTGAATTAAGGTTTCTAAAGGAAATCTTCAATTCAGCCCGGCTGAATTAACGTTTCAATAGGAATTGAAGATTTCCTTTGGAAATCTCAGCCCGGCTGACAACTGCCTTTCAATGTTGGTAAATGATAATCGTTTTTGTTCTCCCCCACCCCCTAATTTTCCAAACTTTCACTGACATTGGACAATTCCTCTTTCAAGCATGGATTATCAGGTTTCTGCTTGAGCATCTCCCTTAACTTTGCCACCTGATCTTCTCTCATTTCTATGGACTGCTTCAATTTGGCCTGTTGATTTTCTTCCATAACCCGGGTGGCATTACGCTGGGCCTCCAGGCGATGCACTCTCTGCTGTAGCAATTTATATTCCTTTTCCAAACGATGTTTAGTCTCATTAAGGGATTACAGCTCTCCCAAAACCAAGGCATTTTCCATATCCATTTCTATCAAGGCCTCATTGTCTTGTTGTTGCAAAACGGATATCTCCTGCTTGAGGTGATTTAAACGTCTCAGCAGATCCTCCCTTTCGTTGTGTAATTTCTCTTGCTCTGGATTTTTAGCTCTTCACTGTGCTTCGTATTGATATTCTTATCTTTGCGATGATTTTCGGCCAAGTTCTTGGCAATATTGGCATATTTCTGACCCAACACATCTTTCGCCGGCATATTGAACGTAACCAAATCCGCATTAAATGGAAATCTTCAATTCAGCCCGTCTGAATAAAGGTTTCCAAAGAAAATCTTCAATTTTGGTTTTGTTTTAATATTTCAGATGATTTTTTTTTTTGATTTTTTTGTAAATATTTTTTCAGGTCCTAACCATAAAAAATTAAAATTCCTCGTAACTACTCTGTATCAAACATTTTCAACATTTTTGAAATAAGAAAACATCAGATTTTGAATAGTTGTTATTAATTACTTAAATTTGTTTTTATTTTGTATTATTTAATATTATTTTTATTATTAAATTAACAAATATTATTTACAATAGATACCCTAATAATTAAGCAGTTATACATTAAATAGTGTTTATATCCTAGAGCGGGGTTTTCAAGTTTAAATTCTAGTTGTTGATTTTTTATCATTTTTTTTTTCAAGTGACTTTTTTTTCTTCTTGTTGGTTAAGATGGAGACAGAAAATTAAAGAGGAGGAAGATATTTAAACAGAAATACACATATAAAACAATAATATAAGGAAAAACATAAAAATAAATTCAATATGAAAAAAACTTGTACTTAAAATTAGTGACGGAGTTTGTTTGTTAATTATAATTGTTAATAAAAAATACAATAAAATAGAAAAGACAATAAATTAAAGAAAGAAATATATTGTTATGTAGTTAAAAAAATAATTAAAATAAAAAAGAAATAAATTGTTATATAGTTAAAAAAAATAATTAAAATTAATAAAATATATATATTTTATATATATGAGGGCAGGCTTTTGTTGTTGTTTTTTTGTTTTTTAGATTTAAAATTAATTGATAGTCAGTTTTGTTTAGTTTATTTTTTAAGTTAAAACTAAAATAAATGGCCAGTTCTCTATGGGTCAAATTAGTCACACAAGATCGAAGGAATTACAAAAAAAAAATTGTTTTCGATTTAAATCGAAAGAAAAAAATTGGATTCTGTTATTTTCAATATTTTCACAAAAAGGATTTTGAAACAAAAAATATTTTTCAAAGGAACAAAACTTTTTTATCAAGAAAAACTGTTTTCCAAAGTAAAAACAATTTAAAAATTTTTTTACGAAAATGTTTTTTCCCAAAGTGGATTTTTTCTGGAAAAAAAAAATTCTTAAAAAATATTTTTCCTAAAATCGATTTTTTTCTCTTGAAAAAAAATTGTTTATTTCTTTGAAAAATATCAAATATTTGTTTAAGAAGAAAATATTAAAAAAAAAATTTGACTGAGAACGTTTGACTCTTGAATTATTTTTCTTAAAAAATATTTTTTTAAAAAAACCTTTTTTTCCTCGAATTTTTTTTACACAAAAGAACTTTTTTTTATTTTTTTTCTCTCTTTTTTAATTTAATAAATCCTTCTCTATTTAACCGTTAAAATTTTGTTTATTTTTCCAATTTTTTTCACGGGTTTTTCCATCGACCTCTTGTGACGATCCGAATCCTAGTGGAACAGGCCAAAACAAATTATGTTTTCATCCATTCTATTTATATATAAATTGTTTGTCATTCTCTTTTATAGAAAAAAATATTTCACTTGTAAAGAAGTTAACAATTATGTTTGTGTCATTAGTTTTTTTTCTTTTCTTTAGTTGTTGTTGTTTGTTTTTTTTTTTCAAGTTTTAAAAAGTCTAATGGAGGCATCTAATGTTTTGATTTGAGTTACGGGAGGATTATGCTGCTGATTTATTTTCCATATTTTTTTTAAATAAAACAAATGTTGAGGCGAGTTGTTGATAACTGTTGATACACGCCTCATCACATATTTACACAACTCCAAATTGTTTGTTTTACTGTTGTTGTTCCATTAACTCTTTAAATTATTTTCTTTTGTTTTTTTCTTTCTTAATTCTTCAGATTCTCTCCTAGGGTTCCATTTATGCAATTCGATTGCCTTCTATAGTTAGTTAAAAATGTTGCATTCATTTGTTTATATATATATATATATATATTATATACTAATATGTATGTATGAATGTATTTAGTTAGGTGTTTGTGTGTTCCTATGTGAGTTGCTTTGTCTTGAGTTTGGTGCTTAATGCATAGTTTAAAAGCTTTGAATCTCTTTTTTCCTTTTTTGTTTTTAACTTTTAAAGTAGTTTCTTTTGTTTTCTTTCGGTTTTTCTTCTTTTTGTTGTAGTTTTAATAGTTTGTATTAAATTCTTTTTCTTTTGCCTAGAGCTTATCCTTTTTTTTTTCATTTCTTTAAATAAGTTTCTTTTTTATCACAAGTGTGGCAACGGATCAGCACCGCTAGATATTACCGGCACTGTGATAATATTGAAAATTCACAGGCGTCTTGGGGCTGGGACAAGAATACAGAAAATCATCATGTTGCAGTTGCGTTTGAGTCAATGTCGAATCACTGGCACTGCGATGCAGCTTGGGCAGGGTGCGCCATATATATTCCAACATATTTAAATTCAAACGGAACAGTGGCCTTTCATTACGATCATATTTTATACAATCGACCAAGAGACGTTTCAAGTCTTGAGGGGCATCGGAACGTATACGTGTCATATCGGGTTTGAGGAGACCCCGACCAACCATAAAGAGAATTTGATCTTTATTATTGATATGACTATAGGGTAGACATTCGGCCAGCAATTCATAGAGGACAATGCCAAAGGCATACACATCCGATTGAAAGGAGTAAGGGTTTTGTTCCTGCATGCGTATAACTTCAGGAGCCATCCATAATATACTGCCTGTGGGTTGATTGGCTTGCTTTTCGCCCGACCAACGTGTTTTGGCCGTGGCCAGACCGAAATCGCCAATTTTAACGCTATACTCATCTTGCAAGAAAATGTTATTCGATTTTAAATCTCTGCCAAAGGAAAAACAAATTATTATCAATTTAAATTAGAAAAAATATTTCATTTTGACTCACCTGTGTATAATATTTTTGGCATGCAAATAATCCATACCCTGGGCCACCTGCCGTCCAATATCAATGAGCGTTTTCAATTTGAATTTTGTCTCCTTGACATGTATATGCTTGTAAAGGCTACTGCCCTCACACCATTGTGTCACAATGGCCAGTGATGGCTTCGATACACAACCCATAAACAGTAGAATATTACAGTGGCGAGTTTTCTTCAACATGGCAACTTCATTTTTAAAGGCCTGTAATTGAGCTGGACTGGGAGTTTTAACATTGAGGGTCTTAACGGCAACCGGTCCATGCCAATGGGCCTTGTATACAGTTCCAAAAGAGCCGCTACCAATGCGGGGACCAATCAAAATTTCTTCGGCTTGTATGTTCTGGAAACCCAAACGACAAATAAATAATTAAAACAAATAAAACTATTTAAAATTCCAAATACCTACCCAATTTTCCTCTGAGGACCGATTGGAAGACAGCAAATTTTTATTACTTTCATCAGCGGAACGCGCCCTATCCCTTTTCACATGTTTCAGTGTGCTTGTGGGTGAGGCTTGTGTTGAATTGGAATGATCACCAGCATTTTGTAAAGTGGCATGGGCCTGTATCAATTTGCATTGGGCCTCGGTCAGGGGTTTGATATTATTATAACAAACATTGGGAGCGGAATTGGAACGATCCTGCTGACTTATAGAACGAGGATGACGACCCTAAAAAATACAATATTTAAAAAAAAATCTCTTTGTTTGAAAAAAAAAAAATCCTACTCACCTGAAAATCCCCACCCATCATACCCCTACCCGGATGTATAATACCCACAGCATTTTCCGGATTCTGAGCCAACAAACGTTGATAGTAGCTATCGACAGGAAATTGTTGACACAGTGTTGGCACTTTATCATAACATCGTTGATGAAAACGAAAATTACATTGATTACAATAGAATCCGGTAAACAACAGACGACGGCAGCATTCACAAAAGGCCAACGTAAAGAATGTTTTGCGTATAAATTGATGAGAGATATGTGTCATTATGGGGCATTTGGGACGCACATAAATCTCTTCCACCTGGATGGTGGATATATCCGTATGCCAGGGTATTATGGTACGCCCATTTTCCGATGTCGTTACTTCACACATGTCAGGGGTAAGTTGGCGCAATTTCAAGGCCTTCATTAGGGCATCACACAATCGTACGCCGGCTACAACTTCCACTGAAGTCCTCTGTTGATTTGGTAAATGGGCACGCATGAGGACTTTACGCTGCCTTGTCAAAGTACCACATTGGCTGTCACCATACTGGGAGGAAATAATACTATCGGTCTGTAAATAAAAAATATATATATATTTTAATTAAATTATATTCCTTATAAAAAATCAGGGAGTTTAAAATCTTACCATATTATTATATCTATTAAACAATTGCTGTTGTATTTGCAATTGATTTTGATAGTATGACTGCGATTCATTTAGCTCCCTTTGCTGTTGCTCCTTTTCCTCCAATTCTTGCTGGGCATTCAACTGTTCAATCAATTCGGATTCCTTGGTCTCCAGCTCATGCAGTTTTGATGTCAACTCCTGATATTCGGCAATATACATGGGCGGAGGCTCTTGCAAATTAGCAAAGCGGGCATTTAGGGCATCAATATTCTCCCGGGTCACATGTATGACCGATTGAATATTATGCAATTCTTCCGTTAAGGCATCATACTGCTCTTCACTATCATCGGAAGAGGGTGTACTCGTCATGTTGGCAGCAGCTTCAGCTTTGCCAACAGGTTGTTAATCACACAAATAATGATATTTTCCAAAAAAGGGGGAGGATTTTTTGCTATATATACAAATGTAAGCCAACTCCTTACATCAAATATATGTCCTGCAGCTTATTACATGGAAGAAGTTTTAGGCGTAGGAAGTTTTTCTTTGCTACGACGTTCTTTGACCTTTTGCCAAATGGCCAGCCACATCAAGTTGTTCTACTCTATTTTTCGGTCTTCACATATACAACATTTCTTATTCAGATATTGTGGTTTTTATAAAGAAACCCCAAATTAGCTACTGCTGATTCATGTTTTCCAAATCCATAATTCACTCAAGTCCACCTTTTATGGATTTCTCCAGAAAAATCTTGCTTCAGAGTTTAAAAATTTGTTCCCCCTTTTGACGAAATCGCAAATAGGATACACAGTCTTCAGTTGTGCGTAGGTCGCGTAAAGGAGTATAGAGTGGATTCGACGAATTCGTTTGATGAGCAGCCAAAGAAAATAAATTAAAACACGATTAGACAGGTTTTAATTACTAATGTTTTCCAAAAATAAAACAAACACTTACAGAACAGGTTTCTTTTTGTTTGTTTGAGACAAAAAATGTATCCTTTTTATTTTTTTCACTTCTCTGTGTGTGCTTTGTGCGACCTCTCGTCCTTTTTCCTGGATATTTTCTTTTATTATCCTTTTCACGTAGAAAAAACTGATGCTTCTTCTTTGAGGTGGCAGAAAGCAATTTGAAGTAATAGCAAGTAGATATGCTTCTTCTTGGCGAGAGTAATTAGAAGGAAATGTAAGTTATTCATAATGGAATGATAACACGTGCCATTTTAGACACAGTGGCGTGAAATAAACCATTGAAAAGAAATGGGATTTAAAATGGGAAAAAAGGAAATATATTATAGAAATACCTGAACTATTAATTTGGTTTGCATTAAATGCCAATTTATAAAGGAATATCAGAGTCAAACATGATTTTTATGCTATTCTCCTTTATTTTTTTACAATAACAATATCGAAGTTAACATGCAAGCCAGAAGTCCTATTATGCGTTTCTCCTTTTACAAATATTTTAAGGGACTATATATAAGAGAGATTTAAAAAAAATGTTGTTATAAAAATATTTTTATTTTATTTATTCACACTACCTTACCTTTTCATCTTCATGGATTTTTTAAATATTTTTTCAGAGACTATCCATAATCGTGCCATTTAAAAAAATGTTAAAAAGCATACCATAAGCCTGGATTTTTTTGGGCGATCTACAAGCGAATATTTTTTGCAAATATTTTTCTTAGGGAAAATGTGTATAAAAACTCTCAAAATACCAAAAATTGGAGGGTACTAGGAAAAGGGAGCGATACCTCTTGCTACGTACCGGTTTGGTTTGTTGTCATAGACTGGTGGTCTGTTCCAGTACTTTTTTAATGGTAAAGCTAGTAAAAGGGAAACATTTCAAAATCGCTCTCAGAGTACAAAATAATTTGAAAAGTTCGGGAACGCAAATCTAAACGGTTAAACAGAATGTTCGCGTTGAGCGTTTTTTGTAATCGCGTTAACGCACGCAAAAAGTTAAAATATATTTAATTACGAAGCGCAGCGCACATTAACTTCGAGCGTTTGTGTTATCGTTTCCTTGTGGTTGTTGTATTTTCGATAACACATAACGCGACGGATGGCTTAATGCGGTGTACACACTATCATTTTTGAATGGCACTCTTGCCCAAATTTTGCTTGTTTGATAGTGTGGCCTCACATGTTTGTCATTCATCAGGCAACCACAAAAATATTTATGGTTGTTGGACAGTCAGTAATCAATAAAAAAGTTGACAGTCAAAAATGATAGTGTGTACATCGCTTAACGCGAGCATTCTGCTTAGCCCTTTATGCCATGTAAATAGATATGGGTTCATACTATAGTCAGGAGAAAGAGAATTAATTTTTCTATTTAGATCCATATGTGATTCATGCAAATATGTTATGCGGTGTACACACTATCATTTTTGACTGTCAACTTTTTTATCGATTACTGACTGTCTAACAACCATAAATATTTTTGTGGTTGCCTTATGAATGAAAAACATGTGAGGCCACACTATCAAACAAGCAAAATTTGGGCAAGAGTGCCATTCAAAAATGCTAGTGTGTACACCGCATTACAATTTTGGTGTAAAACAAGAAACAAAATGTTTGAAATAAAAAACTCTGATGACATGAATTAAGAATAGTGTTGTATGAACGGGTTAATTCATGTACGTAATTCTGAGAGCGAACTACATTGTTCGAATGCCCGTCAGAACATGACTTTTTAATACAAAAAGTCGATTAATCGATTAGTCGTAAGTCGATTTACTTATCCCTAGTTAAAAGTCGATCTATGTATCCCAATTTTTTTGCGGGACGGTATGACATTTCTTTCGTTTTCCTCCTGTGATTTCTTAAATAAAAATTGAAATTGCAAAAGAATTGTGGTTGTTAATTATATTAATTAATAAAATATTAACTAAAAGTAATCATTTTAATTTAATTTCATATAAAAAATCGAAAAATTCAAACAATTGAAGTAAGGACAACCCACAAAGCCCTGACATGGAAGAAGGTAAGAGAGAGAGAGACATGCATGAAATGCAGCATAAAGGAGTCAGTCTGGTCGGCAAACGTTTATTGCAATGGCTTGGGTTTGAGGCAATACAAGCTATTGGTTTCTAAAATGAAGAACCACATAAAAATGCAAAGGAACCTGAAGTGAATTTTAATTATATTATGTGGAAGCCCAAGTCATTAGTTTGGTAATAGTTCTGGAGCTTTCTTTGGAATTACAACAACAACAAAATCTATAAATGGGAGTTTTGAGGGGATCACTGTTTAATATCCTTAATATCCTTGTAAAATTAATGCCCATATTTTCTAATTTTAATTTTGTTTTCCTCCTTTTCTTTGCAGACTATGCATCTTCTTCGGCCGGTGGTGGTGGCGGCAAACAATCCGCAGCCAAAAAAGTCGGTAAAATGCACAATACCTTACCCTTGTGGGGTAATGAATCGACCATGAATTTAAATCCCCTTATCTTGGCCAATATACAAAGTTCTAGTTACTTTAAAGGTACGTCCACAAAGGTACAGTAGACAACACAAGAGAGCATGCACACATTTCTTTCAAATTCCGAATCTAATTTTGAATTATTTTTTATTTACATATATATGCTGCAATCTATATATATACTTACCATCTTACAGTACATTTGTTCAAATTGAAAACCTATCACGAGGTGGTGGATGAGATATATTATCAAGTTAAACATATGGAACCATGGGAGCGTGGTTCACGTAAAACCAGCGGCCAAACTGGCATGTGTGGCGGAGTGAGTTTATGAAATGTACCTTTTTCGTTTTAAAAGAAAGGGCTGACTATTTTTTACATGTTGATCATAAAAATACTAATGCCTTGGCAATTTTGCAAATTTCCATTTTCTTTATTTTAGGTTAGAGGAGTAGGTGCTGGAGGCATTGTATCCACAGCCTATTGTTTGTTATATAAATTATATACGTTGCGTTTGACCCGTAAACAGGTTAATGGCTTGATCACACACACAGATTCCCCCTATATCAGGGCATTAGGTAGGTGGTAAGTCAATTGAGTGCCCATTAGACAACAGATTCAAAAGCTCAGCGTTAGTGTAACTACTGTTCTGCTGCATCCATCTAAAAATCTCTGAAAAGTGGCAACAATTTAGTACTCATAACATATTTTTTTTTAATTTTAATTTTTTTATTTAAAAAAAAGGAAGTTTTATTAATTTCGATATTTTTCTAGGTTTTATGTATTTGCGTTACACCCAACCGCCGGGTGATTTATATGATTGGTATGAAGACTATCTGCAAGATGAGGAAGAAATTGATGTTAAAGCCGGTGGCGGCCAGGTGAGTCGACAGTACGATTGGCTTTGTTTATTATTTTTCAAATTAAATTTTTGGAATTTAACTCAAGTCTAGTTTACAAGGGACGATTTTTTGAAATTTTTGAGATTTGATGTAGATGTCGTTATTTTTAATAGAGACGACTGGAACCGAAGTAACCCTCCTCTGGACGGTCTGGCCTTCTATACAGACGGATCCAAGATGGAAGAAGGTACAGGGGCAGGCGTCTACTGTGAATGGCTAGGCATTGAGTTAACCTATAAGCTGGATTGCAACTGTAGTGTTTTCCAAGCTGTAATCTTCGAGATTTGGAAGGCATCGGAATTGATAAAAAGTCTAGATGCAGAGGTCGTTGAACCGCTTGACTACCCACGTGGATAGTCAAGCGGCTCTTAAAGCCATCAAATCTTGTTATATAAAGTTCTGAGGCCGTCCTCAAGTGTAGGACAGCTTTGGAAGAACTTACTTACAGCTATCGGCTAGCTAGACGAGGATCTCAATCCACAGATCTAGAAATTGATGACTTAATCACAGCACCCATATGTCATCTTTACCGGAACTTTGAGGCGTTGATTACTGTAGACTCTGCGTTGACGAGGAGGAGGGACGGAGACAATTGAGCATCTTCTGTGTCACTGTGCAGACCTGGCTTACAGGCGGTACAGACTAGCGGGTGCTCATTTTCCAACGAGTCTTAGCTTCTTCTCAACAACGGAACCTGCTCTAATCTATAGCAATGATTTTTTGAAAATATTTTTCATAGCTTTCCCTAGGGGTTGATATTTTCCATTTAAAATAAATTTGAAGTCTTAAAAATCCACACGATTCCTTGTAAACTAGACTTCTTGAAATTTTTGATTTATTTTAATTTTTTTATTTAAAATTAATTTTTGTTTCTTTGTTTTCCCCCTTTCCAGGTGATTACAATCGGCCAAATGGTCTATCAATTTCTAACCAAATTGGATTGGTTTTCAACACTGTTTCCTCGTATACCTGTGCCGATACAAAAACAAATTGAAAAGAAACTTGAACAATATTGTCGTGAAAATGGTGTTACCCTATATCAGCTAAGTTCAGGTGGTGCTGCAGTGGCGGCGGTGGCCGGAGCTAATCCCCGTACCGTAAATGCCAATGCGACTGTAAATGATTATGACGACGGTGAGGATGGAGGAAAATATGATGGTCGTGGCCGTTCTGGATATGGCAGTCGAGAACCACCTCCACCATCATATCATCGTGGGGAACATGATGATCGTTTGGATTATCCTCCTCCTCCCAGAGATTATGATCGTTATAGAGGGGAGAGGGAACGGGATCGTGATTATAAATCATCAAAACGTTATGATCGCAATTCATCACCGGAAAGTGTTTATCGTGGCACCAGTCGTGAACGTGAACGTTATCGAGAGAAACACAAAAAGAAACACAAGCACAAACATCGTTCGAGGTCACGATCCAGATCCAGATCACGATCCCGTTCCCGTAGCCGTTCAAAAAGCAGTAAACATCATTCCCAACGTAAGCGTTCAGAACGTGAACATCGTCATCATCACTCCTCCTCGTCATCGCATCGTTCAAAGGGTTATGCCGATGATTATCCCGAAGATCATAGACGTTATAGATGAAATGGAAATTTGAAGCCAGTTGACTCTATTTTTTTTTTGTAATTTAAGTTATCTTAAATAGCTAAATAAGAAAATATTTTTTTTTAAATTGTGTTTTTCCTTTCTTTTACTACATTTTCTTATAAATATTTCATGATTTCATCAATTGTTTACTCCAAAACTACCTCATTTCTATGCAAATGAAAACAAAACTATTCCTAAATCGGGAATATTGTTGTGAAATGTTACTTTTTCACTTTGTTGGAATATAGGGTAGCCTTAGCCAGTTTTTTTGTATTGTATAAATGATGCTAAACTCACAATTAAATAGAATTCACAACAACAACTACTACAACTAACTAACTTTAGCACAAGACATTTTTAAAACGTTAAACAAAACCAAGCCCCCCGCCCTTTTTAAGCTATTATATACTATTACGAAACTTTGTTATTAAACTCAGGTGAATTAATTGAAATATATATTTAATGAATAACTATTGTTTTTATTTTAATTGTAACAAACAACAACAACAAATAACTTCTATAGAGCAATATAACCCTATCATGGCTATTCTTTGTAATTTTTATTGCAAACAAATTCTATTTTGAAAAGGTTTTGTTTTAATAATGAAATGTAATGGATTGTTTATTACATTATGAATTGCAAAATTATTAAAATTTATATTTAAATTTTTTTATTTGAAAATTATCATGAAATAAAAGATCACAAAAATAATGTAGTGAAATAAATTTGTAGTAATTTTTATTATGGAAAACAATTTTATGTATAAAGGCTTCTGATTAAGTGGTAAATCTCCGCACCAAAAATTATCAATATTGGAACATATTTAGGCATAGACCTCTTTAGGAGGTACCCCCAAATTTTAGGTATTTCGAGGGTTTTGAATAAAACTTCCAACCGAATTGGCTGTAAATTTATATTTTGAATAGTGATGGACTAGGAAAACACCATAACAAATATAATGAATATTGGTCTATTTTTACTTATAGCACCCTTTAGGCTGTACCCTCCAATTTTCGATATTTTGAAGATTTTTGACACAATTTCCAACTGAATTGGCTGTAATTTGATATTTTACATAGTAATTGAGTAGGAAATCCCCCTACCAAAAATTATAAATATTGGTCTGTTTTTAGGTATAGCTCCCCTTATGTAGTACCCCAAAATTTTCGATTTTTGAGAATTTCGGATCCATTTTCCAACCGAACTGTCTCTAATTTGATATTTTTAATTATGATTGAGTTGTAAACCTCCCCACCAAAAATAAACAACATTGAACCATTTTTGGGTATAGTCCCCTTTAGGTAGTATCCTAAAATTTTCGGTATTTTGAGGATTTTCGTCACAATTTTCCAACCGAATTGTCTGTAATTTGATATTTTGGATCGTGATTGAGTAGGAAATCCCCCTACCAAAAATTATAAATATTGGTCAATTTTTAGGTACAGTTCCTTTTAGGTACTACTGCCGAATTTTCGATAATTTGAGGAATTCGGATAAATTTTCCAACCGAATTGGCTGTAATTTGGTACTTGGGATACTGATAGATTAGGAAATCTCCATACCAAAAATAATGAACATAAGTCCATTTTTAGGTATAGTTCCCCCAAATTTTCGATATTTTGCGGACTTTGAATACATTTTCCAACCGAATTGTCTGTAATTTGATATTTTTAATTATGCTTAAGTAGCAAATCTCCCTGCCAAATCTTATAAATATTGATCCATCTTTAGGTATAATAACCTTTAAGCGGTGCCATCGAATTTTCGTATTTTGAGGATTTTTGACATAATTTTCAGCCGAATTGGCTGTAATTTGATATTTTGGATAGTGATTAGGTAGGACATTTTCCCACCAAAAATAATCAACGTTGGTCCATTTTTAGATATAGCTTCCTTTAGGCGGTACCCTCCAATTTTCGATATTTTGAGGATTTTGAATGTATTTTTCACCGAATTGTCTCAAATTTGATAATGTAGATACTTATTAGGTAGCAAATCTGCCTACCAAAAATATTACATATTGGTCCACTTTTAGGTATGGGCCCCCAAATGAATGCACCCCGAATTTCCGTTATTTTGATGATTTTGAGATTTTTGGAATTTTTATTTGTTTTGCCTTAGTACCGCTTGCTGTCATCAAGCTTGTCATAACCCCTAAAGGTTATCATAACACGGAAAAGTGTTGAAAATTCAATTATTCCCCTTTGTCATTGTTTTTTCAACGACACGAATCTGTCATTTGCGACAATGTCCATTTGACGAACAAAATGTAATTAAAGAAATTAACTTTGAAATATCATTAAGTTTGTCTCGCTCCCCCACCCACCACCACTATGGTGTTATATACGTTACTGGATTTTTTTTGGAAATCATAACCTCAAAGTTGTTTACTTTAATTATAGTGGGTGGGTACTGAGTCTTTTAACATGCAAATGCTTGGTCATCCACCCCCAAATGAAATACTGAACCATATGTCCATTGATCGACCACAAACAAAAACAAAATGACACATGTTATTATCCTTGCTGACAAATATCCTTTGCATCCGTTTAATTTTTATTTGACTTGCTTTTGTTTAATGTGTATTTTGTGTGTGGATGTGGGTGTGTGTTTGTATGTATGGAGGAGGAGGGATATAGGGCACGTGTGCTGTGTTATAGATATGATCTTTATGTCATTTTAATGATCGGTTTGGAAAATGGCAAGCGGTAACAGAAGCGAGCACAGGTCTGTCTAAAGACCAATTGTCCTGCAGAAGAGAGCACAGAGCACATATTTTATAAAAGAAATCTACTTCCATAGGAGGTCAGGAAAAAAATATTTAAAAAAATGTACGTATATATAGGCTTTGAAAAAATATTTAAAATAATCTACGCCTATATAGACTATGACAAATATTTTTAAATAAAAACATTACGCCTAAATGTAGGCTGCGACTTTTTTAATATAACCTAAAAAATCTTTTTTATAAAAATCCAAGCCGAAGTATAGGCTATAATTTTTTATGAATATGCCATGAGATCTTAGATCTTTATAAAAACAAAATATTATGTAAGGATACAACATGTCCATCCTTGGAAGTCCAAACCACCACGCTATCTGAAAAAAATCTGATATTGGGCAAATAAACACCACCCCAGATTTGATAACGAACTTTTGTTTTTTTTTAATAATAATTTTCTTACTTCAAGACCCCACACCCTTGTTGTTGTCCTTGTGCTCTATTTAATATTAGGGTGCTGGGTGCCTACAAAAAAAAAAGACTGCACAGAAACAACAAAAAGGATGAATTCGAAAAGAGGGTTGCTTGACTTCTTGGGGTTGTGCTGAAGACCAAGAAAATAACTGAAAAAAAAAACCAACAACACCCAAGATCAAAATCTTTTTGACTCCTTTTGTTCTCTTGTTTTTGTTTCGTTTTTTTTTGTAAAGGATGCATTTGGTTGTTGTTTTTTTTTGCAATCTTAGGAAGTTGCTGTGGTGTTTTTTGTTTGAGGTTATGTCCAATGGTGTTTGATTCACCCTCTCTTGCGTACCCTTCGACTTCGTTGCAAAATAATTGAAAATAATTACTAAGAAAGTAGTTTATAATTATTTGATAATAGCAGGACAGATGCTTGCTGTTTTTTCTTCGATTGTGTGATTCTGATTCCTGAAGAAGACCCCCCTTGTAGGTTAACTGGTGTTTGTGGTTAACTCGAGGATAACTGATAAAAAAATAATAAACTAGGGCAGCTGTAAATCTGCAATGTGCAATGTGAAGAGAATTTTGAATGACATGTGTCATATTCAGGATGAAAAAACATATATCACATATCTTAAAGGCATGGAACATAACCTCAAATTTGGCAAACAGAAAACTTAAGAGAAATATGAAAAATACACAATAACAACAACAAATATTAATGGAATTTAGGTAAATAACACTATAAATTAATTTTATTTTATCTTCAACTTTAATATAAATTTTTAAAAATCATTTTTAAAAACCTAACCTAAAAAAACACTCTTCATGTGAAATATTTAATTTGAAACATACAAATAAATATACGAATACCTAATTTTAATAAAAGTAAGGTTATCTTCTTTTAGTAAGTTTTAATTTTTATTATTAAATTAATTTTTTTTAAATTTCGGAAAATCTAACCTCAAAAAATCTTTTTTTATCGTAATAAAAATATAATTTAAAACCTACTAATAAAAATGTGAATGCTTAATTTTATTCAAATGGAGGTTACCTTCCTTTAAAATCTTATAATTATTATTATTTGATTACTTTTTTCGATTTCGGAAAAACCTAACCTCAAAAATAGGTAATTTAAGAAAAAAAAACACAATTTAATCAAAAATTTTAAATTCAATTTATCAAAAGGGCTATTGTTGTTGTGGAACTTATAACATCTATTAATTTGAGTATTTTTTCCATAAAAACATAACCTCAAAAATGTGCAAATTATCTTCCAGAAAAACATAACCTCAAAATCTCAGAGAGTAGCTGTAAAGAGTCTTTTAGACCAGTGATTTTGAAGTTAGATTCAAAGGAGTCTTTCTGAAGATTTGAAGGGGGTCTTTACAAAAAACCCGAAGCAGTAATTTTGAACGAGTTGAAGGGGGTCTTTTTAGACCGAAGTTGTATTTATGGATGAGCTGAAGGACGAGTTGTTAGACGATTATTTGTCTATAAAAAACAGACCACAGTGGACCTGACGATTGTTTTTCTATAGAAAAACAATGAGAGAAACTGTCATTTGATTAGCTGACTCTCTGTGTGACATTCCTTCAAAAAATGTTGTGATGCAATTCCGAACCTTTAATAAAAAAATGGGCAAGTCAAGATGTAAACACACAAAAAGCCATCAGGCAGCCTTACAGCAAACATCCCAAATAAATATTAATTTGCATATTTTTGAATTTTCAAAATTTAAATTTTTTATTAAAATCAAATCCAGCCAACTTGCCTCCTCCTCCTTCGTTAGATTTTTAATTGTAGGAAGGT